TTTTGGGTAATTGATTTTTAATTGCATTTCTTGAATAAAATTATCAATTTTTTCATCTTCACTAGTCCAATTTCTGAAATTTTCTTTTAAATTCTTTATTTGACATGGTTTACACCATTTATACCTTNATTTTCACTAGTCCACTTTATAAAAGTTTCCTTTAGATACTTTATTTGACATGGCTTACACCATTTATCCCATATTTCTGTGTACTTTTCGCCACATTCTTTACAATAGTATCCACATTGAAAAACTAAAATATAATCTTTTGTATCAGAATTTTGAGATATTCCATACAATTCATTTTTACATGCTTTTAACTATATTAATAGCAAAATTAATATCAAAATAATAATTATTTTAATTGTATTTAAACCATTCATACCTTATTAAGAAATTCATCAATTATATTTTGTGAATTAAATAGTTTCAAATTAATCTCAACTTGTACTCTTGTCCACTCTTTTTTGTTCTGATCATATTCCAATTGGCCATCATTCCATAATGCTAAATATATTGTATTACTTATTTCCTTAATATCAATAAATTGGTTATATGATATCCATTCAAATATTGTATCACGTGGATGATTTACTTTTAATTGCATTTCTTGAATAAAATTATCAATTTTTTCATTTTCACTAGTCCACTTTATAAAAGTTTCCTTTAGATACTTTATTTGACATGGCTTACACCATTTATCCCATATTTCTGTGTACTTTTCGCCACATTCTTTACAATAGTATCCACATTGAAAAACTAAAATATAATCTTTTGTATCAGAATTTTGAGATATTCCATACAATTCATTTTTACATGCTTTTAACTATATTAATAGCAAAATTAATATCAAAATAATAATTATTTTAATTGTATTTAAACCATTCATACCTTATTAAGAAATTCATCAATTATATTTTGTGAATTAAATAGTTTCAAATTAATCTCAACTTGTACTCTTGTCCACTCTTTTTTGTTCTGATCATATTCCAATTGGCCATCATTCCATAATGCTAAATATATTGTATTACTTATTTCCTTAATATCAATAAATTGGTTATATGATATCCATTCAAATATTGTATCACGTGGATGATTTACTTTTAATTGCATTTCTTGAATAAAATTATCAATTTTTTCATTTCCACTAGTCCAATTTTTAAAATTTTCTTTTGAATTCTTTATTTGACATGGTTTGCACCATTTATACCATGTATCCGTATACTTTTCACCACACTTTTCACAATGGAATCCAGTTTGAAGAACTAATATATAATCCTTTGTATATGGATTTTGAGATATTCCATATATTTCAACATTATCATTATTTTTATATTCCACAACCTATTTAATAATAAAATTAATATTTAAATAATATTTACTTAAATTGTATTCAAAATTTTTATACCTTATTAAGAAATTCATCATCTGTATTTTGTGAATTAAATAGTTTCAAATTAATCTCAACTTGCACTCTTATCCATTCTTTTCTGTTCTGATCATATTTCAATTGGCCATCATTCCATAATGCTAAATATATTGTATTACTTATTTCCTTAATATCACTAAATTGATTATATGATATACATTCAAATATTATATCACGTGGACGATTTACTTTTAATTGCATTTCTTGAATAAAATTATCAATTTTTTCATTTCCACTAGTCCAATTTTTGAAATTTTCTTTTAAATTTTTTATTTGGCATGGTTTACACCATTTATACGATATTACTGTATACTTTTCACCGCATTCATCACAATGGTATCCAGTTTGAAGAATTAATATATAATCCTTTGTATCAGGATTTTGAGATATACCATATATTTTAAAATTATAATTTTTATATTCTACAACCTATATTAATGACAAAATTAATATTTGAAATAACAATTACTTAAATTGTATATAAAATCTTCATACCTTATTAAGAAATTCGTCAACTGTATTTTGTGAATTAAATAGCTTCAAGTTAATTTCAACTTGTACTCTTGTCCATTCTTTTTTGTTTCGATCATATTTCAATTGGCTATCATTCCATAATGCTAAATATATTGTATTACTTATTTCCTTAATAACACTAAATTGATTATATAATATCCATTCGAATATTATATCACGTGAACGATTTACTTTTAACATTTCTTGAATAAAATTAATATCAGTTTTTTCATTTCTACTAGCCCAATTTTTAAACTTTCATTTAAATTTTTTATTTGACATGATTTGCACCATTTAAGGATTATATTTGTATACTTTTCAACACATTCTTTGCAATAGTATCCATCTTGAAGAACCAATATATAATCATTTGTATCAGGATTCTGAGATATTCCATATACTTCAAAATTATTATCACTTTTATATTCTAAAACCTATTTTAATAACAAAATTAATATTAAAAATAATATTTACTTAAATTATATTTAAAATTTATACCTTATTAAGAAATTCATCAATTGTAATTTGTGAATTACATGGTTCAAATTAATCTCAACTTGTACTCTTATCCATTCTTTTTTGTTCTGATCATATTTCAATTTGCCATCATTCCATAATGCTGAATATATTGTGATATTTGTTTCCTTAATATCACTAAATTGATCATATGATATCCATTCAAATATTATATCTTTTGGGTTATTTATTTTTAATTGCATTTCTTGAATAAAATTATCAATTTTTTCATTTCCACTAGTCCAATTTTTGAAATTTTCTTTTAAATTTTTTATTTGACATGGTTTGCACCATTTATACGATGTTTCTGTATTCTTTTCACCACATTCATCACAATGGTATCCAGTTTGAAGAACCAATATATAATCCTTAGTATCAAGATTTTGAGATATTCCATATATTTTAAAATTGTCATTTTTGTATTCTACAACCTATTTTAATGACAAGATTAATATTTAAAATAACAATTACTTAAATTGTATTTAAAATTTTCATACCTTATTAAGAAATTCATCAATTGTATTTTGTGAATTAAATAGTTTCAAATTAATCTCAACTTGTACTCTTATCCACTCTTTTTTGTTTCGATCATGTTTCAATTGGTCATTATTCCATAATGCTGAATATATTGTATTGCTTATTTTCTTAATATCACTAAATTGGTTATATGATATCCATTCAAATATTATATCTTTTGGGTTATTTATTTTCAATTGCATTTCTTGAATAAAATTATCAATTTTTTCATTTCCACTGGTCCAATTTTTGAAATTTTCTTTTAAATTTTTTATTTGACATGGTTTGCACCATTTATACGATGTTTCTGTATTCTTTTCACCACATTCATCACAATGGTATCCAGTTTGAAGAACCAATATATAATCCTTAGTATCAAGATTTTGAGATATTCCATATATTTTAAAATTGTCATTTTTGTATTCTACAACCTATTTTAATGACAAGATTAATATTTAAAATAACAATTACTTAAATTGTATTTAAAATTTTCATACCTTATTAAGAAATTCATCAATTGTATTTTGTGAATTAAATAGTTTCAAATTAATCTCAACTTGTACTCTTATCCACTCTTTTTTGTTTCGATCATGTTTCAATTGGTCATTATTCCATAATGCTGAATATATTGTATTGCTTATTTTCTTAATATCACTAAATTGGTTATATGATATCCATTCAAATATTATATCTTTTGGGTTATTAATTTTTAATTGCATTTCTTGAATAAATTCATCAATTTTTTCATTTTCACTAGTCCAATTTTTGAAATTTTCTTTTAAGTATTTTATTTGGCATGATTTACACCATTTATAGAATATTTTTTCATACTTTTCACCACATCCTTTACAATATCCATCTTGAAGAACAAAAATATAATCTTTTGTATAAGGATTTTGAGATACTCCGTATATTTTACAAATATTGTAGTAATTACTACTACTTCTAATTGAGTATTGTCTAGCCTAGTATTAATTAAACCAAAAAAGTATTAATGTATTAAAAAGGAGTGTTGCTAATCTTAACCGGGGGAAATCAACTGGGTAAGGAATTATGTTAATTCTGGTACAATTCAGTTTTGATGCTTGACTAGGAATTATGTAATTCTACCTATCAGTTAATTTTCTCCCTGGTTAATTGCAGTTATTCTCTTGAAAAAAAAGTATTTTAAAAATTAGAATTTACATAAAAGAATTCATACCTCATTACGTAATTCATAGGTTGTGATACTTTGTGAGTTATTTAAATATTTTAAATTAACAGTCACATCGTTCTGGTTACACTTCCATTTTGCTATTGCAAAATCACCATTACCAATCTTTTTAATGTTACTAAACTGATTATATGGCACCCATTTAAATATAGTATCACTTGGGTCATTAATTTCTAATTGCATTTCTCGAATAAAACCATCAATTTTATTGTTCCCACTGGTCCAACTTCTAGAATTTTTTTCTAAATTTTCCATTTTGCATGGTTTAAGCCTTAATATTATTTTGAAATTCTTAAACTAAAAAAATTTCGATTAGTAAATTTACGCCAATAAATACAAAACCGGAAAAATTACAGCCCGAGAATACGAGAATAGGCGTAATCATAATTGATTATAATTGATGAATCATTGGGAATTCGAGATGCAACTTTCAGAATGACAAAATTATAGGTGCCAATAATAAGTGATTACAGTAACGCCAATGGAACCAATAACATTTCAAAGCAATGAAGATCAACGGAATTTAACGGGACTATCATTACTGCATATTAAACTGATGATGTTATACAAGGACACGATCTGCCGTATTAGCTCTACGAATCATCAAGGCCAGAATTGCAATGCCGCCTGGCATTATCCAAAAAAGGAAGGATCTGCGCATTATTGGCTCATTTGCGCTGTATTGTTTGTTACTTTTTTATGTAAGGTTCGAGTCCGTACCCTGACTGTGTACGACATACCAGCATCTTTGTCCCAAGATAAAGTGCTTACTGCGCTAGCAGAGATTATGTTATGAATATTTGGTATTGGAAGCTCAAGGATCGCAAGTAACGTAAGCGTGACCATGCGAATCCATATAACATAAAGATATTACTTCAGATATTCTTTTAGCTACTCTCAACTTGACCAACAAAGATTTTATAAGACCAAAATTAGAAGTTTGTCATCAGATGACACTAAAAGATTTATTTAAACTCACAAGAAGATTTTGCATGTCATGTGGGCATAATGTAAAGTTAGCATCCTGTTATGTTAGTCGTGAAAAGAAGAAATTTTCAAAAACTCAGATTCAAGAGACTAATCTAAGAGCAAACACTCTCGTAAGGAAACAAAGGTATCTTTCGCAGCCCTATAAGAAATATGTATACGGAAAGGAAACATTTTGTATACATTTTATGTACGTTTCTATAGATTCCGTATACAAATTCCGTATATTTAATAAGCAATTCATTTTTGAACATTTTTTAAAAAAACTAATGTATAAGAAATGTATACGGAAAAAATTAATCATACGGAATGTATACGGAATTTATAAACTTAATATTTTTAGAAAATAATTTTACAAAAATCTCGTATCATAACACGAGATCACGTGATTGTTTATTGTTTTGTTATGATACGTTTTTTGTTTTTTATATAAACCCTTTACTTTGATGAGTTTGATCTTCCGATCTTCTTTTCTGTCTTTCCCTTCCTTCTCTTTTCTCTTGTCTTATTTTTGTTATTTTTTCTAAATTTTTCTTCTTTTTTCATCACCCCCCTTTTAAAAAAAAATTTTTTTTTTTCGTACCTCACTTTAAAAATTTTTTTTTTCATCACTTTCCTTTAAAAAAAAATTTTTTTTTCATCACTCCCTTAAAAAAAAAAATTTTTTTTGATTTTATTCTTTTATTCCCACTATTCCCACTCTTCTTTTTTTAAAAAAAAATTTTCTTCTTTCTATTTCTATTTCTTCTTTATAAAAAAATTTTTATTTTTCTAACTTTGACGTCCTCCCTTTAAAAAAAAAAATTTTTTTTAACTTTCCTAACTTCGTTACCCTCTTTTTAAAAAAATATTTTTTTTTGATTTATTTTTTATTCCCCTTTCTTTTTTATTTATATATCCCTTTTTTTATTTCATAGGCCCGCAGATTTTTTTTTGTGAGAAGATTCAGTTTCTTTTTTCTTTTTTGTAGATCAGTTTGGAAG